CACAGACAGGTAATCATGTCCTTGTCTACAGGTGGACAGTCTAAAGAAGGCGTTCTCCAGGCAGAACATCGAGAAGAAGATGACGAAGATCGGAACGAAGATCGTTTCTGCCGAACAAAGAGAGAAGATCAAGCAAAAGACTGCCAGCCTGAAGGTTTCACCTTTGAGCTTCCACATGAGGAAGGTACAGAGTTATTCCTCTTACTATTTTCCAGAGATACCACCAATGTACCCATTAGGTCCCAGTTTGTTCCCCTCACAACGTTACCCTAAAGTTACCCTAAAGTTACCCAGTCCACGTGGAATGTTCCACCAAAGTCTTCTGAACAATGTCCAAGTGTTCCACTGAGGTTCCCCTTGGGTTTCTCTGGATTTCAAATCTTTGATTTTGTGTTTACAGCCTCGCAGCAACTCTGAATCTCAGCTTCCAGAGGCCTCTGCTCCAACTGGGGAGACACTTACTACTGAGGCTAACATCCAGCTCTCCCCACTGGGCAGCACTGAGCAGGAGGTCTCCTTCACAGAAGTTCATGCCCAGCTGGCCCCAACCGAGCAGCAGCAGGAGGAGGAGAAGGAAGAGGAGAAACAAGAGGAGAAGGAAGAGGAGACAGAGGTGGTGAAAGAGCAGCAGACGTCAGTTGTGGTGGAGGCTGATGTGTCGGTGGTTTCGGAGGGAGTTGGAGAGGAGTATGCTCTATCCTCCACCCTCCCTAAGGAGGAGAAAGGAGAGGAGGAGAAGGTGGATGAATCCTAAACACTCCTCTGGTAATGGAGTTTCATTAGTGACAAAACAAACCTGAGCTACGATCAATCAGAAAGTCCTCATCTTCTTAAATTAACATTTTAGTGTGCCTGGGTTCTTTTTAGGCTTTCCTTCCACAGAGGTTCTTCCTAGGTTCTCCTTCAATTCCCCAGTTAATTCCTTAAAGATTCCCAAAGGTCATATTAAGAACCCCAGGCATCCTCCAACATTTCCAAAGTTCACTCAATAAAAGGCTTGCTGAAGTTCCTCTACGAGCCATCTGGGGCGTCTCCATGTTCCTGGTCTTTATGCTAAGCTAGTCTAAGTAGCTGTTTGCTGTAGTTTCATATTTACAGACCCAAAAATGTTGAAATGTTCCTTTAAAGTTCGGAGCTCAGGTTTGTTTTATATATATTTCTGAGTATTGATAAACCCCCACAAACAGTCCAGTTCAGTGTTACATGTGATCCTGTAAACCACGTTTATGTTACACTCCTTAGTGTTTTAGGTTGAAGTATGCATGACGTCAAGAACTTTAGTTCCTCCACTGATCTGAAACCTAAAGCTAGAACCTGGAGATATGGGGTTTCTACAGGAATGGGATGATTTTTACGTCCCTTCTTTTATTGCTGATATGCGTTCTTTTTAAGCAGCTGACTGATGTAACTGTGATGATCGGCCTGATCCGAAACATAAAACATTCACCCAGTTGAACCCAGTGATGTTCTAAACCCTCACCTGTCAATCATCCAGATCTCAGGGAACACAAGGTTAACATGGTGCTAAACAGACCCCTAGAAGGTTTACAAAATGTTCTAAAAGCATTCACCTAATCTGATCCTTCAGGTTATTAGAACATTATACCAGTGTTCCACTAAGGTTCCCAGGAGATCCCTAGATATTGTTAACCTGGCAGTACCCTAATGACCCCTTGAGGATCCCCAAAGCATTCTGTCAAGGTTCTACTGACATTCCCAGCATGATCTCCAGGGTTTCTGTAGTATTCCGGTAACAATCCCAATTCTAACCACGTGTTGTCTAAAATGTTCCTCTGGTGTTTATGTTGAGTTGTTGTTTGGTTAAACTGGTTGGTTTTGATTCTCTTAGACTCTTTTTGTCCCAAAAGATTCAGTCTGGTTCTCCAGAAAATTCTCATCTTTGACTGCTCTGATGTTCCACTAAGTTTTTTTTAAAGGTTTCCAAAGATCAACTGTTGGTTACACTGAAGCTTTTCTACAAGAGTTTTACATTTGGAACTTGCTTCACTTGAAGTTAAACATTCCCCAGTGTCTTCTTAAGATCTCCCAAAGATATTCCAAATATTCCCTGAAAGGTTGCCCTGACATGACTCTACATTCCACTGATATGTTCTCCTAATGTTCCCCTGTTGTTTTCTTTACATTCTGCTGAGGTTCTCCTGATGTTCCTGCCTGTTCCAGTTGCTGTGTTGATTTACTAAACATGAATTTTTATCTAATGTTTTCTTATTCGATCAATATTTTTTGTCCTCTCTGAGGGACTCAGCTTTTCAGTAACCTGCCATTTCCTGCTTATTAACCATGCAGAAGTATTTGTGACCAGAGTGTTAACCTCCTCAGCAGACCAAATCAGTTTGTTGCTTTCAGGTGTAGCATTTCTGTTTTGCTTGTTTTTATTTTACCACAAACTTTGTGCTGCCAAAGAACTGATTTCCTTTTTCAATTATCTAATCCTCCATATAATCAATAAAACCTGTGAAACCACACAACTGCCTCTGCTTCTGATTTAATGACTGATTTCTGATCGGATGAACATAGACACAGATTTCAGGTTATGAAGCTTTAGTTATTATAAAGAAAATCAATTGACTATTAATTGATTGATTTCCGCCAGCACAGACACAAACAGAGAGAACTACCTGCTCACAGGTAAAAGTCCTCCATGGATGTCATATCTTTTAGACCCCATTCCTACAAAACTGCTCAAAGAAGTCCTGCCATTAATTAATGCTTCGATCTTAAATATGATCAACCTATCTCTAATAATCGGCTATGTACCACAGGCCTTCAAGCTGGCTGTAGTTAAACCTTTACTCAAAAAGCATCTCTAGACCCAGCAGTC